TTTTATTAGATAACCATATCCACTGATATGCTTTTTATGTTTATTGTTTGGTTTTTTGGCGATGTTCAGGGAAGTGGGGTGTTCCCGTAGGTTCGTTCGTGGATTAGGGTTGACAAGTGAGATCAATTTATGCAATTGATTGATTGGTCGTGATCACTAGTGGGCAATACTTTTGCCATATGTTGATGTTCACTTGATAATTAACACTTGAAAGGGGCCCATACGAACAGGTGCCTACTACCCCGTCTTTTTAGGTATCGTAAATGTGACACTCGGGATGCTGAACTGATTTGCCAGGTGCTACCATCGGTGCTACTTCGATTGTATTCTGAAGAACGGGTTCTCGGAATCATACTTGATTTCTGCTTCGCGTTAAAATCTGATGAGTACCCCTCCAATATCAAACAAACATTGCGAATGGTATTTGAGGTATGGTTCACTAATTCGTTATTTTAGGGTTGGCTAAGACTTTTAGCAGTGGGAAACCTTTGCTCGGTATTTGGCAGCTCTTCATTTAGTAGTGCTTGGATTCTTGGGATTATGCTTGCATCGTATGAGTTGACTATGATGTTGACCTCACTAACGGGACCCTATTTTGCTCGATGTGTAATTAATTTGTTGCGTTATTGTAATTTTACAACGATGTTTTTTTTCTGGCGCTTTCGTGACTCTACTTGTTTTTACCCTCACCCTAATGCCTAAGGTTAAAGAGGACGGGGGAATAGGTCCACTTCCTGGAACCCCTTATGGTTCGCTACTTTCCAGCTGTGCGAGCGGATGAGGGACAGTCAACGTCTTTCATCGCTTATGGCGTCTGGCCAGATAGTGATGGCACGAATCCAGCAGCGGCCCATGGTGTCAGAAGAGGATCGAGCTGTGGCTTGTTGCCTTCTCTCGGCTGTGTCACCTTATGAGGATATTGCGAACAGGTACTTTTCCTAATTATTTTCATAGAATTTTGTGAGGGCTGACTGATGAATTGACAGCTTCTCCTTGACTATAGCTACCTTTTTTGGCGATTGATTCATAGAATGAGTTGCTTCTGTGAAAATCCGATCCTGAGTTTTTGTGAGTTCGGACGATGAGAAGGATTTCAGATTCTACGTCTATCTAGCAGCTTTGACGTCGACGATACCGATTGACGAATCTTATGAGTTTCTTATGAGAAAAGCTCTTGATGAATGCTCTCCATCATCCGGCTAACTTATCTCTATAGGCATATCTTAGCAGAGTTGCTTAATAGTTTTGTTATTGGCCATATCCCTCATACTTCACTCAGTGACTTGGAACGGTTTCTAGTGAATTCCATGTCTACGAAGAAGCATATCGACTTTTGTAATTAGGTAGGAATTTATTTCA